GCAGAAACCTCAAGTTACCAGGCCTCTGGTAGAGGACCCGAGCTCAGAGGATGAAAGAGACCACCCGTGGAGGGTGAGAAGGGAATTATGTATGCGTGTGTGTGTCTCATTCTCATCTTTAGCTTACATAGACCTAACATTAGACTTAATTTACTTGTTGCAAAATATTGTTTTTAACTTGCATTGTTTCGAAATTAGCTTCATGTAGCACCGAGGCTTAAATACTATTTCTTAATATAGTATAGTTAATTATTTTTAAGTTTTTCATACGTAAATAATTTTACATAATATAGTAATACATATCAATACAGTAATTGGTATGTATTTCTGTATTGGACAGTGCCTATTAGTCGCTATGTGATGCATTGAGTTGTGGGCAGCCCTCACCAGCTTCACAACACTAACCTGTAACAATGAACGGTGTCAGTGAAAAAAAAAAGAACGACCGCCGTCTTCTTCCCCAAACTGTCTGAAGAGCAAGGGGCGGAGCCCCTCACTTCCGGCCCCCTGGTGAACGCTGGTCAAATTCTGGTTGCTTTTCTTTCTTTTGTTCTTTCTTTCTTTTGATTTAACAGGGTATTTTGGTCAATGTAAGTGTAAAAATAAACAAATGACAATAGTATTGATTTATGTGGTGGCTTATATTCTTAATCAGTTTTTCTGGACTATCAACAAGTGATGATTAAATTCTCCCAGTTTATAGTGTATCGCACACTATCCAGCTGGCAGCCATTTTTGAAGAGGCAAAATGTCTCTTCAAAAATGGATTTGAAGCATAATCTGCTTCAAATCCACTTTTCAAGATTATATGATTGGTTTTTACATTGTTCTGGTAAAAAACCTTTCTCATCAGATCCAAGACTGCTGCAGACACGCTCATGATCGCCACGGCCAACAATCCCCTGCAGTATCCAACACAGGGGGTGGAAGTACGGCCCCTGAAAACAATCATCATCCCAGGTATTACTTTACCTGACATATTTACTCACGTTGTGTAAAAGTCTTGAGTTATTTCTCATTTTTTAAATATTTGGATTCAAGAAGTCTGACTTTCATTTAGTCTTTTAAAGTATTATCAGNGTATCTGGTAGCGGCTCTGGCTTTTAAAATGAAACCTTTGGTTCCTGCAGGTGTCTTAGTATCCTTATTTACAAACACACACTGGATTATTTCCAAATGGATTAATGATACCCAAATGGTAAACATTCTAATTTACTGTTAATAGCTATGTGTCATCTGAAAAAATAAATACAAAAAGTCAACAATATTTCCAGGTCTGTAACCCTAAACCAGCATTAACTTTGCTCCAGATCAGTGGAAATTGAAAGTACAGAGTAAGACTATTCAGCTAAATTGTGTAGCTATCACAGGGTAGGAACAGCATCCAAACAAAGGCAGTTCAATGCTGCAGTATGTACATTTTAGGGAAAAAATTATGTTATATATTTGTTGAAACTGTCACCATATTGTCACAGTATGCTGAGACAAATAATCTGTGAAGAAAAATCAAGCCCGTCTGCCTTCTCGCAATGCTAAATTGAAACAACCAAGCAGAGCCAGGAGGAGGGTCTCAGGACAACATAGTAATAGTTTTAATAAATACATATATTTTTAAATAAAAGTTACATACTGAATCTAAATGGTTACATCTACCTGATTTTATTTTTTAACAAACTCATTTGTGGGCCTGATTGAAATCAACATCCTCAGCAAGCATAATGTAGATGGTACCGATATGCCTAAGGTTATCATCTGTTGGCAGAAATGTAATATAATAATCTGAATTATGCTGTCAATAGTAGCCTAAGCATCTGAAAATAATCATTTTTTTATTTTACCTCAGAATTTGTCATTTAATGAGGGTGGTATCCTCTCTCATTCTGCTATGTCTCTATGTGGCCATCATGAACTACTATTGTGTAGCCCATGATGGAAAAACTCACAAAATCTGATAAATAGGCCAATACACCATCCTAAAGTCTATGTAGGTGTAAATTTATAGTATTACTGATTAACTTTTTTATATCTAACAAACTAGACACGAGTGACACTCTAAAACAACCCCCCACTAACCCCCCAACATATACACCAGTTAAGGATATAGCCCAAGTCTGTAACTTCAAATTACAGCTCATAATCGCCTCCCATAGACAGACAGTGTAGGCATATCATACATTTTCTGACTCCTTAGAGTCTGTTGAGTATTTTAGTCATTAACTCTTGTGTCCCTGATGTCCCTGGATACCGATGGGATGAAAGAAGGGTATCTAGTTTGGTCAAAAGATGTGGAAAAATGTGTAATAATTTTGGTTTAACGACCTCTAATGACCTCTGTGTTGGTCAGAGAAACTCAAAACATGGCTTAAATGAAAGCCAAGAGTGTCCCCTTTAAGATGATACCAAATATTGCATTACAGACCTTTGACAAATGCCCATACCATGACCCTAAACCAGAGTTACAGCAGTCCCAAAATACAGAATTTTTCCAAAGGGTTTGTTTACTTCATGAGATGATAACTATGACTCAGCTACCATTTTGGAAGGGCTATCATACCAAAATATTAACTAGAGACATGTATCTTTTCAAAAAATATTGATAGACTTTGCCACCCTGAAACGGACAAAAATGTCAAATTTTGGCCTCTGGCCCGTGGACTAATCAGCGCAACATGCACCAGCCAGCGATTTGTTGCTTTCTGCTGCCAGAAAGCAACAAATCGCATCCGTGTGGCTTGGCGGATGCAAGCCACACAGTGGGAAAACAAAGACACACGCCTGAATGAACGCCGCAGCTCCCTTATATACACCACGCCCACTTCAAGAACCGGAACTTCTCACCTGGAAACTATTTGTGTGAAATTATGTATATTTCTATACCACTACACTGAGAGTCCTCACCCTGACTCTCATACTGACAGGAGGAACCACAGAGCTCTGTTAAGTTAAAAGCACATCTTCTGAAGTTGGGATATTATGCCCATTATGCGCATAATGTGCACATAATGGGTGTAATGTCCTAACGGGCTCCTTGCACATCAGCTTCCTCGTTCGGGGATAAGCAGCTCGGTCACTTCCGGTCTATTGAAAATGGCATTTTGCACTTGGTGCTTTCAGGACTTGGCCAAGGTAACAATTAATGATGTACATCGATCTGAAGCCCCAGTAAGCTGGAGAAAAGATGTTCGCCTCTTTATACATTCACAGACATGAAGGTGAGTTTTACTTTCTTAAACTTTGTGGCTAACATTAACTTTAGCTAATGCTAGTAGGGAATATTTTCGGACATTTTTCTTATAAAAATGTGCTATTTAAGTATCTAAACATTTTAATCCATTCTAACGGACAACCTTTTTACCTTATTTTGTATTTATTTTCAAGTGTGTTTATTGTCGTTAGTGTCAAACAGAAATCAAGGAATGGGGGAGGTTACTGTTCGGGCTTTTTGCTTCCGAAGCATGAAAAAGCACAACAAGCCCCATAGCTTTAAAAGTAGGGCAGCTCTGGTGTCAGAGTTCTAGTTCAGCTAGAACTCTGACACCACGTTAAAAGTTGTTGCTTTTAGAAAAATATAGTCGTTTTCCTTAAGGTCTCCGTGTTATTTAGTTTTATTACTTTTGCATGCTTCACATGAAGAGCTCAGATAGAATGGTGTTTACAGCAGTGTGTACAGGCGGATCAGTTGCTGACTGGCTCTGGTCTGCTCACTCGTTCCCATACACTCGCTCTTTCAAGCTGAATACAGAAGTGATTCCATGGAAATAACTCAGGGAGGCTCCTTTATTTACCATCCGTCTCACTCCGGTAGTTTTGGGCTGAAGAAACTGATCCAGAGTGAACTTTGCTTTAACTTGCATTTAAAATAGTATTATCTTTCCCAATATATAGAATCAATATAAGACTTGACCAATAAAAAAGGCTTAGAAAAATATGTGACTTTTCGCTTGTATTTGTTTAACAACCCTGGTTGTTTGTTCATTTAAGCGTTGTATTCTTCAGTGAAGCTCTTTCATTTGTTTAATGCCTTTTGCCTAAGTTTCTTAAAAAAAAAAAAAGAACATTTCTCAGTTGCGGACTCCCTGATATTTTAATATATGTACATTATAAATGTTTTTTTATTGAAGTTGATCATGTTGCTTTTCATGTCTCATTTCTTATTCCTCATATAATTGATGGAAAAGTATATATATCATATACTATATATTATATATATAGTATATGATATATATATAGTATATGATATATATATTTTATATATATATATATATATATATATATATAGAGTATGTATTACATATAATGCATGCTATATAGTATGCATGTATAGTCCATGTTCTAATTCTATTGCTTGAAACTGTGGCACATTTATTTATAATAACATCTTATTTTAAATAATGAGTAATGGCACCATTGCAATCCAGAACTAAGGGGGGGGGGGGGGATATTTTCTCTCAGTGTCATGTTGGGTTCAAGTCTTTTGACCCACGTCCACAACAGTGGAGGGCAGACAGGCAAGTTTTTGTGAGGAAGGGGGAGGAGCGGTCCGATAGCCACCCGTGAAATGAGAAACTGTCAGAGAAACTTCATCCGAGAAGGAGATGGACTTGGGTAACCAGTGGGTAAGATCCACAGCATCATGAGGGAACCCATAATGCCAGAAATTTGGGCTACACAGTGGGTAAAATCCACGGTGCCACAAGGAAACACCATAACTGGCAAACACTCAGTTATTTGTCAAGTGCTGGCAGCCCGGTCCTCATGTGCTTCTAGATCAGCGTTTCCCAGCCCTGGTCCTCAAGACACACTGACCTGCATGTTTTAGATGTCCCCCTGCTTCAACACACCCCATTCAGATTATTGCAATTCAGCAAAACCCTGTTAATCAGCCATCAATTGAAATCATGTGTGCTGAAGCAGGGGAACATCTAAAACATGCAGGTCAGTGTGCCTTGAGGACCAGGGCTGGGAAACACTGGTCTAGATGTCCAGGGTGGATTGATCACAGGTGTGCTGCATCAAACAGCCAGCACCCTCCAGGTAGGAGCAGCCTCTTGGCACCATCTGGTGGATGATGAAGGAAGCAGCAGACAACAGACACAAAGACCAAAAAACCCCACTTCCCCAACAGTCATAGGTGTAGTAACTAAAGTTTCTTTTATTATTAAAACATTATAATAATAATAATAATATCACTACAAAAAGTATTCCATTTTTTTGTTTGTTTAAAAACAGAAATTAGAGTATTAAGGAAAGAATAAACACACACACACACACACACACATATATATATGTGTGCATATTTTATAGTTTCCCATATACCTCAGCTAAGTTGGACCACAGACCTATGGTTACTACATCTCCTAAGGGAGATGTAGTAACGAGGAAGGAGTCGACATCAAGGTGGGTGAGAATGTCAAGGTGTAAAGTCCTGGTTGTTAAACACTTAAAGATGATGTCTTATCTTTTCTCAGTGCACTGTCCAATTTTGACATAGAATGGTCCGAAACACTGTGTCTCAGGGGAGTAGAAAACATGCTTAAAGAGACGGAGATGGGCTGCTGGTAAGTCAGCCATTTGGGGATTAGTAGGAGTGGCCTTCCACCGTCTACAGTGTGGGCATTTGGACTGATGATGTCAAACTGCTTCTCAGCTTCGGAGTATCCAAAAGCTTCAGCGAATGTTGGCAAACAGCCGTTCAGAACCGGGATGGCAGAAACGTTGGTCATAATCCTGTATCAGCAGTCTGGTGAATGGGTGGTGCGGATATAGAACAATTGGATGTACTGCTCCAAACTCTAGATCACTTGTGTGCCTCAGTCTGCCACCTATCCTGATTTCTTCTGCTTCTTACAACTGTGGTGCTGAAGCACACGGTTTACTGTTGGTGGCAACCGGCTTACTGAGCATAAGATGTTTGATCTCATCAGGGAAGCTATCAGTTTGTAGCTTACTGACAATTTCTCTCCACTTTGTGATAGTCTTTGGCAGTCAAATTTAAATCCTTCACAACTGCAGCTTGTAGGCTCCGCACAGCGGAATCAAACAGTTCCTGCCAGCCTATGTAGGTCTCAGATTCTGAGTGGGGAATGTGGTAGTCGAAGTTGTACCACGAAAGGATGATTTTCATAGTTCTGAGGGTTCCTCGGTAAGAAAGAGGAGCCTTGGCTCCATCTGTTCGTCTCAGACAATGCCTCTAAGGTCTTACCCCGAGTGATGTTGTCAACTGCATTGTTGGCTGAATCTACATACCGCCAAGACTGTGGATCTGTTAGGTCTTGAACCTGAGCCACATGGGTGCCCACAAATACGATATAGCGACATGAGTCTGAAAGTAACCATTTTAACACTGTGTCCATGTCCCAAGCAGCATAAAAAATAGCTCCGCAGATTTCAACAGTGATCAAAAACAAAAAATATTTACGCTTAAAGCAGTCAACCAAAAGTAGACTTCCCCCATCACCCTCTCACTAAAGTCACCAGATGAGCAACAGGTAATCTTACAATCACTACCAACACCACGTGATCCAGAGCTACACCTATTCACCACAGATGCTATATTTTGCAGTGTCAGTTGAGTTTTTCAGTGGGGTTTATTTACAGCAGATCAGAGAGGAAGTAGATACAGAGAAGAGGGGGGAAACCATGCAGCAATGGTCCCAGAATCAGGAACCAAACTTTTCAAGATTATATGATTGGTTTTTACATTGTTCTGGTAAAAAACATTTCTCATCAGATCCAAGACTGCTGCAGACACGCTCATGATTGCCAAGGCCAACAATCCCCTGCAGTATCCAACACAGGGGGTGGAAGTACGGCCCCTGAAAACAATCATCATCCCAGGTATTACTTTACCTGACATCTTTACTCATGTTGTGTAAAAGTCTTGAATCATTTCTCATTTTTTAGATATTTGGATTCAAGAAGTCTGACTTTCATTTAGGCTTTTAAAGTATTATCAGTCCAGTTTCCAGATTTCAAAAGGGAGCTGCAAAACTCTAAACCAGTGTGACAGGTAATCTGCAACAAGAGATTACCACATAAGAGCCAATATCGCAAGTCATGCATTATGCAGAGACAGAGGCGAATGATCTCTGTGGTCTCAGTTAGAGCTGCACCGATTGTTTCCTGTCGATTGCCAATTACAGATCTGTTAAAAATCCTGACCTGCCGATTTTGTCTGACACCAATTTTTTTTTGTCTTAAATGTTGCTAAATATAGCAAGAAAGTTGATGAGTTGCCAACAATGTGGTGACTATTGTTAATTGTAAACATATAGACCTGATCTGGTGGGCCGGTCAGTTAGTCAAAGGCTCACACAGCAGGGCAGAAGACAGTCATTGAATTAAATACCTTTGCAGAGGTAGATAAAATCAGTGGATAAGATCGGCTCCACATGTAAAAATCAGCCAATCACAGATTTCCCAAAATCAGGGAAATCAACTGGCTGATAAATCGGTGCACCTCTAGTCTCAGTGTATAGAGATGGTTACTAAAAGCAGAACCTGTCTATCCATCCATCTGGGTGTTCATGTATTGTTCTGTTCATTCGTCCTTTGCTAGTCCATCCATTTTACCACTAGTCTGTGTGTGTGTAATGTCAGCAGATAAGTTTCCTGAAATACAGGTAAGTAATGATGAGACAAGACAACGGGATGGTGCATCTTTAAATCTTCTCGCTCATATTTCAAGAAATATTATGATGATGACACATTGATGGTATATTAATAAAAATTCCCTGAGCTGCTAGGAGAAAACTGGAGCAGTGCTAGATGATGAACTCAGGAGTATTGCATCTATCAAGATTTACAACCAAAGCAAACAAAGTAGGAGGACTAAGCTGTGTAAGACCTCTATAAATCCTGGTTGATTATTGAAAAAAAAAAAGTCTGAATCAATAGTATGAAGGTATGAAGAAATAATTGTTGTTTTTTTCCCGAAAACCTCAGTCTAAAGATTATTGTAACTTTTCAATATTGATGGGCAGATGAAGCCTCTGGTGTCTGGCACATTTCCCAAACTGTCGACTGTGTGTTGAAACTGTGTTACACTTACAGTGACATCTGCTGGATTTAAGCAGTCATTGCAGGTAAATTCAATAAAGACTGGAAACGGACAGAACGATGTTCAATCACATGTTTTTATTTAGAATCAGCTGCTGTAACAGCTTTGGGTCAAACTATTTCATTGTAATTAGGGTGATTTGCAAGAACATGAGAATACAAATAAAAACAATTAACAATCATGACAAACCTGAACCGGGAGCAGATGGGTGAGCTGAACGGCCAATTCAATCGCCTGCTTTCTGGCCGATCACTGATTAACACCAGGGTTTATCACGGGAGTGTTAACCGATTCCTCCCCTTCATGCCGGACGTTGATGCCTCAGCATTGTGGAAGAGCTCCGGTTACAAAAAGACAAAACCTGGGAGCAAATCCTACATTTTTCACCTACAATATACATCAAAGTTAATCCATGTAAACTAACTCAAATATCCCATGGAAAGAAATTTGAATAATCCAAAAGAAAAATGATCAAAATTATACTCCATAATAAGATCAAAATAATCCCACACAGGAGAAACCTTCCTCATCCTTAGTTGATTCATGTTGGTATTCAAATATGATCCAAAAACAAACACAGAGCAAAGAACACAAAGCATCTCCACACAACCAAACCCACAATTACGTGGACACAGTTTCTCCCTCATGAATACAATTTTGCATAGTTTGAGTGAAGTAATCTTTACAACAGACCAAGAAATTTCCCAAAGCAGCATGTGTCGCTCTTTATAAAAACTGCAAACTCCTGCAAGTCAGCTTAAAACAACTAACGGTCCTTATTGTTTCAGGCTTGGCCTTACACGACCTTTCCAGAGACCATTACACAGTGAGTATCCTCCTGTTTTATTTTATGCCATCCAGATTTGTGGATTTCTGTCACTTTTTCCATTTTGTTTTCCATCCTGCTGCAGATAAACATCACTGCCACACTAGGAACACTAAACGTAGCAGCAGAAGTGGAGGAAGTGGAAATAAAAGGTGATGGAGGGATGCATATGAGTCTGTCTAGCAGTTTGCTGCTGAACTTGAACCGACAGCTGCAGTTTGTCACCTACACAAACACAAAATATCATCCCAACACTGCAGACACAGGTAAGACCTCTTCACATTTAGAAGGGGGGATTCTCCATTTTTATATTTATTTAAAATCCTCTTTCAGTTTGCAGACAATGTAGCTATCCTAAGATAGTTTGATCCTTGATATTCGCTGGTGTATAAATAACCATCACCATGTTTTCTTTTTTCCTCATTCTTATGTTTTAGTCAGAATAGATCTGAGCTAGTTTTAAAATGAAAATCAGACTAACATTATTCTTCTATAATAGTTTCAAATCAAATTAAAATTATGAACTATGTTTACCAGACAACTGCTGTACTCTTTCTGACATCAAAAGTGGTTGAATATTCAGACTGAAATATTCCAGACACAATTTTATGGCTACAAAAATGATGTTGCTCTGCTTGCTCTGTTTCTGCGCTGCATTTTTGGAGCCTCTCTTTGCACATCCTCTGAATCTACAATTTGTGGATCTGGTCAACTGGTCTCTCAATGCAGGTGATCAAATTTTCTCAAGGAGAAAACTGGGCACAGGAGAGCCAACTTGTCCTGCAGGCACATACTTCCTGGATTTATTTGGATTCATGATAACAGGATTTCTGCTGTTTGGAGTTGGCGGATATGTGGCTTATGAACAAATTTGTGATGGGTTGGGCCGACTAGTGGACACTCAGACTGGCTTGCTGTGGGACAGAAGCACAAGTTGGACGTGATTCTTACTGAAATTCGTAGGCCAGCTGTAGCTCAGTAGCAGGATGGAATTGATCTTGGAGAAGTTGTTAGTTTCAGTCCGGCAGAATGGTCACACTAATTTGGATGATTGGAATCAATAGAGAAGTAAAATCTACCCAAACTAAACTTCCTGTTATATGATGTGTGTTGGGAGGGTGGCGGGGTTCTCGGGAAATTCTTAGAGACTTCCTGTTATACTCCCTGTTATACTCCTCCATCCACTCAAACACCCACCTCAGCGCATAGCGTTCATTGTTGTTTTGTTTTTTCCATTCATACTGCTTCCAGCGCTCCCCCTGATATGGCACTTAAAGGGGTCATTACTTTCCGAAATAGATCTGTCTGTAAATCAAATCAAATTTTATTTGTACAGTACATTTCAGCAACAACGCATTTCAAACTGCTTTACATCATTAAACACAAAAACACAGAGTAATGCAATATTGAATAAACAATCAAAAATATTAAATATTCCACCAAGTCGAAGTTCTGCTCTTCAAATCGGCAGAAAAAAAAANTAATAATAATACTTCAGATTTCAAATGAGGATGCAACATAAATTTCTTTCCACAGAGAAAGTTGTCCAGGCAAAAACTATATGATAGAATGATATTTGTCACGTTGAGCAGCCATGTTTATAGTTTCCTGTTTTTTCAGGAAGATAGCATTCAGGAAGCTGAGAAAACAGTTTCTTCAGGAAACAGACCATCTCCATATTTAAATACACAAATCTCAGCATTTAACAGAATATAAGAGTGAACATAAACGATTAGACAATTTATTTTCTTAAAACTGTTGGTTTTTTTTAGCTTTTCAAACAATTATTTCAAAATGTATATAATATATTACCTCAGAGCTTTTCTCTTGCTTATTCAGTTTCTGATTAAGACTAATTATGCAAATAAAAAATTATAAGACATTTTTATTTAGAAGATGGTTAGAAAATCCAAGTAAATCCAAGTTATAAGTTGAAATAATACATATTTATCAACTGAACATTTTAAATGCTATGAAAGCGACAAAACACACAATAACTGAATTGTGAACAAATATGACCAAATCATGAGTTTAAATGAGACATACAAATAAAAACCTCTCTCTTATTTCCACCCATAGGAGGAAAGTTCTTAGAAATCAAACTGCTGATTCTATAATGACACATAAGTATATAAAATACTCATATCAGGCTGCATAACTATGCAGCCATAACACTGTTCACTGTCACAGTAAACACATAGTGACTGTTTACTGTCACTATGCAGTAAACACTGCATAGTGTTTACTGCAGTTCAAAAAGTGTTTCCTTGGTTCAAAAAGTGTTTCACTGAAATTCCTTTCCACATGGTGCTTGTATGTGTAATGACTGAAGACATTTGGCAGAAGCATTCATACACAGAACATCTCCATAATGAAGCAGATGTAGAAAGGTTCCCGAAACCAGTTTTCTTCTAGATTTCAGAGGAAAACATCCATTACAGTTATAAAACCCAATCGTCACTGAGTTTTTGCTTTTTACCTCTGAGACAATAAAGGCTGATTACACACATTTTCTCTGTTCATACTATACAGATTACATTTCCTGTTTCTGTGAGAGTTAATCACAATAGTGCCCAAGCTTTTGTAGTTTACCGTTTCCTTAATGTTTTGAATTCCACTGAGGTTTTTTGAGTGGCACACAGTGTCTCGTAGGGTGTGCACTTGACAATTAAGGAAATAAAAGGTCACTTGTCTGCACCTTGTGTTACAGGATTCAATATGCGGTCCCTGAGAAAGACAGTGCTGCTCGCCGTCCTGGTGTCTGTAGTGCTGGTGCTGGCTCTCCTCCACTCATGGCCCACGCGGGCCTACAACACGGTGGACGTGTGGCAGCGGCTCGGGCCGACAGTGGAGAGGCACCTGGAGGAGAGGCTCCCAGAACCAGACCACCAGTTAAGCAGCGTCCCCTTTCATATCAGGAAAAGTGTATCAGGGTAAGGCTTGTGTTCCTCGTACCATGAATTCATTTTACCTCGTGTGAATTAAAATCTACTTGCATGTGAATTTGGTTGCCCTCTCAGCTTGCTGGCACGTAATGGGTGCATTTGTGAGGGTGAGAGTCCAGGAGTAAACCTGCCCTTCGCCCAGCTGCTGTTCCCGCGAGTGTCAGCTCACTCTCTGCACACGGCCTTTGACGCCTCGGAGCTGGAGGAAATGAAGATGAGACGAGCCAAGGAGTACAGAGGTTTCCAACAGAGGTAAATAAGGAAGTTACAGTCAAGTCAAAACTCATTAGGGCACTTATTATTATTTTTGTTTCTTCATCCACAGACACAGAAAAACACACAGAAATATCTTGTAAAAAAAAAAAAAAAGAAATACTGGTCATATTTACCAAAATCAAGTGATCAACTAAATTCTGTGCAAAAACAGAACATCACACTAATAAAATAATTCTGCCTATCTGCTAAAAAGAGCAAGGCAACTATTTGCATGATATATTTATGTTTATGAAGAAAAACTGCTCTGAAAGAACTTACTTACTTTGTTACATAAAAAAGAATATCCAAATAAAGTAAACTTACTTTTGTCAAGTAGATTAAGTAAAATTAGCTTTGTATAAATTATTCAACTTTTTTAATGTTGTAATAAAAATTTGTAATTACAGCGTAATTAAGCTGTAATTACACTCTACTGCTCTGAAAATAGACTCATTCACGTTTAACTGACTGCACAGGTGAAACTTCAGAGTCCATGTTTTCACCTTAAAGGCCTTAAAACTAATTTTTGTGTGGGATACCTTGCTGGGCAATCCCTACTGTCACATATAAACCAATGTCCTACAAAAAAATCAACTATTGGAACATATAAAAACAAATTAAGTTATGTTGTGCAATTTATGTATTTCAAATCTAAAATAACTTTTATAACTTAAATTTAGTTTCACTGTTCATGAACTAAATAGTCGCCTTATTGACTTATGCCAGCTCAAAATTGCCGCTGCACCGTTGCTGGGAATTCTGATGGCTTATGGGTAATATTCTGTGTTTTTAGATATCAAATGAAAAGATAACAAGACTGTTTTTCTGTTGGGTGGATGAACTTAAAAATATAGGAGCTTAGTACTTAAACAAATTATTAAAAAAAAATTACAGTATCTTGTATTTTGAACAAATATTTTTGACTAGATATATTTGCGTGAAGACATCAACTTGCAGTTTTATTGCTGATTTCATAGATTCAGCTTCACCGCAGAATAATTTTTCACACTGAGTGACAGAAATATTTTTTCCTCCATTAAAGTAACTCAGACTCCTTAACTGTAAAAATTTTTGAAAATTTGAGGATTTTTTTTTTTTTTTTTTTTTTTTTTTTGTAAATTACTCCTGGAAAGAGGCTCCAGGTATTTAAGAAACATTGGTTTTTTGGGACCCCACATCAGTAAAATACTGTCCGTTGAGACCTATAAGTACACAAATAGGAAGGAAACAGATGTTTACAGATGTTTTGTATTTTATTCTGATTTTATGCGAGAGACCAACTCAAAGTGGTGTCTGATGGTGAAGGGGAAACAAACATGGTGTTCAACATTTATTTGCAAGTAAAACTATGAAAAGGAGGCATTCAAACTCTAAGCATCTGACTGGAGTGGATTGGTTTAAATCATATGTGTCAAACTCAAGGCCCGTGGGCCAAATCTAGACCGCCATAACGTTTTATGAGGCCCTCTCTGCCCCTAGGGAGTCACATAAATAGAACCTTAAAGATAAGAACTTTTGTGCTTAAATTATATGTTTTACATAAATTATATGCAATTTTTATCTGTACACTACACTGTAAAACATTTGAAGGTGGTTTAACTTGAAAACAAAAGTCCGACGGCTGGCTTGGAAATGCAATTTAGGTCAACAAGAAAATTGTTTAATTTAATTTCAGTTGAACAATTAAAGTTCTTTAAGTTTATTTATCAGCAAGAAACAAGATGTCTAAACATTATTTTGAAGTTCATTAATCTTGAATTGTGAGTTTTAACTTAATGCTGCAATTTAAACCGAATAATTATTTCACAATATACAAGACAAACCTTCTCTCACCTAGTCAAACAGCACACATTCCTCTAATATTTTCACTCATAATATCAGGCTAAAATAACTACTTATATCACTTTAGAACAATTTAAGTGCTTGTTTCAAATTGTTTGAAAAAATGTCTAATCTGATAATGGATTTTATTGAACTTCACAATGAATTCTGCTCACAAACATTTAGTGTGAACAGGACATTTAAACATTTAAATTACCATTTGTTTGAAAAATACACAAGAGTCAGATCGATGTAACACACTTCCATCTCACTCACGGTGCAACACAGAATATTAAAACAAGCCACCAAGCATTCTGGGAAATAGTTCCTGCTCCTGTCTTTTTCTTTTTTTCAGTTTTTTTTAGGTGCTAAAATAAAAACTATGATTTATTCATCTCTTGGAGGCTTGACAAAATTAATAACAAAGTTAACACAACTTACTACATTAAGTTTATCTTTCACAAAATCACACATTCAAGTTCAAAATCTAACACTCAACAGTGTTAGATCTACTCTTTAAGTAATTTGTTACACTGTTTTACAGTGTACCAAATTACATCAATATAAAAAAAATGTTCCATATTAATTTTAATAAATACTCATTGAATGTAGAGACAGCTATTTAATACTTTAACAGTTTGTTAGTGAGTTTTACTAATGCATTCTGCTACAAATGGCCCCTTGTGGACATCCGTGATTCAGCAAATTATTGTCTCTGGTGCGATGGATGGACTTTTCCCTCCATGTCACCACTATGCTTCACTTTGTGTTGGTCTTTTAATGCCGCCCCAGTTACCGGTAATTGCATTGCAGATTGTGGCTGCAGCTTGAGTACTTTCATATTTCATTAAGTATGTAGAATGCATCTGATAGGAAACTCTGCAGACATAAAATATCAGCAGCATCTAGTCAATAATGAGTTACATAATTAACACGGCCTGTTCAAATCAGACAAAAGGGTTGCTGACATGAACTGTTTTCTCACCTGGAATGAAAGCAGGAAACACAAAGCCGTGTTGAAGTGACAGTGACACTGCATGCCTCCATTTATAAAAGTGTAATTATTCTTCCATGTTTATATATTTTATATAAAGCTGTCTTTAGTTGTTCATTGTTTATAGGTGCTACTTTCTGCAGCTTCAGGCAGGTTTTTTAAAAGGTTTTTGTGGCACTAGTGGTGTTTATTTGCAGCAGCTCAGACAGGAAATAGATAAAGATGGAAAGTGTCCCACAGTCAGGACTTGAACGCTGGGACAGCTGTGTCCAGGACCAAAAGGCTGCCACTCTACCCCTATACACTGTGCTGCCGGCAGCCATTTTCAAAGAGCAAACCAACCCAACTGGATTTTAAATATAATATAAGAGTTGGTTTCAAGAGTATCTGATTGCTTTTTGCATAGTTCTGATCAAAATCCTTCCTCATCAGATCCAAGACTGCTGCAGACACGCTCATCATCGCCGAGGCCAACAATCCCCTGCAGTATCCAACACAGGGGGTGGAAGTACGGCCAATGAAAACAATCATTATCCCAGGTATTACTTTACCCGACATCTTTACTCATGCTGTGTAAAAGTCTTGAGTCATTTCTCAATGCTTTAAAATATTTGGATTCAAAAAGTCAGACTTTCATTTAGTCTTTTAAAGTAATTTCAATCAGTCCATATTTTAAAAGGGAGCTGCAAAACTCTGCACCAGTGTGACTGGTAATCTGCTACAATTATAATAAGACGTATTCACTGTGTTTTTAGTATTTGTTCATTGCAAGCCATGCAGTTTGCAGAGAAAGGGGTGAGTGATCTCTGTGGTCTCAGTCTATAGAGACAATTACTGCAAAACCTGTCCATCCATCCATCTGGGTGTTCATACATTGTTCTGTCTATTCATCCGTCCCATGGTAATCCATGTATTTCCCCTCCAGTCTGTGGGTGTGTGCTTCTTTATTTTCATCCCAACCATTGTAATATATAATAAATTCAATGTGATGGTTTGTATTTATACGTTTAGAATTAACTATAAAATGATTTTGGAAATACTTTCTGGAAAAGTGTTTGATTTTGACCTTAAATAAATGTAGAAATCCTCTCAAAGAATTAAAGAGCATCTTTGAGAATTATATTGATCATAAATATCTCAAACGAGATAATCTGAATCATTAGGTTTGGGGAAACATTTTATATGCAGTCAGGTTCGGGATTCTGAGAGGATGGAACTAGAAACTCTTACAACAAATTACAGTACCTCACTCAAGCGCTCAGCAGAGCTTCATCAGATGTATACAAGGTAAAAATGAAGATCTGTAACAACTCTTAAACTACTTAACAAAGAACAAATTTTAGCTGCTTTACCTGCAGTTTGCTGAAAATAAACAATTTTGTTGCCATCTATTGATTAAATCTAGAAAGATTGGAATCAGATAAACTTTATTGACCACGATTCTCTCTCTTTTAGCAAAATCCCCCCAAAAAAACTTTTATTGAAAAACTGAACATGTGATCAACTCAAGAATGTTGTATCTATCAAGACTTACAGTGAAAGCAAACCAAGTAGAAGAATTAAGGTGTGTAAGATCTCAAGAAATTCGGGATAGTTATTGAAAAAAGATGTAACTCTTTATTTGACAGGGTGTGCGTAAGACTGACATGACACTGTCATAAACATGACATAACGCCTGTCATGAACATGAATGAGTCTTTATGAATATTTATGACTGTTGTCATAAAGTGTCATTCAGTAAAACATGACACTTTTAATACACTTTTATTGAAAATGTCTTTATGACAACTTGACATTAACCAAGACAAAGGTTTTGTTATGACAACTTGACATTAAAAAAGAATCACCATCTGTCATAAATATGTCATAATAGTTAATTATCAAAATGTAAAATGTCATGCATGTTTGTGTATTATTACATTACAATGTTATTTGTTGTTAGTATTAAATTACAGTTATGAGGTAATTATAATTGTGTGATTAATATTTTCCCTTAAACATTGGAATAGTTACAGATGTCATCAAGTGTCAAAAGCTTTAACAACACAGTCATTAATATTTCCCCCTGCCTGAAATAAAGTGGAACGAGTAGGACCAATAATAAAGATGTCGTGAAGTTTTGTTACACTGTCAATTTAATAAAGTCATTATTAATTCTTCTTACCTCAAGTAAAGTTGAACAAGTAGCAACAGTTATGAAGATGTCATTAAGTGTCACTACAGTATCATTAATATCAACTCTTTATCTCAAGTAAAGTGAAACAAGCAGCAACGGTTATGATGTTAAGTGTTATTACAGCGTCAAATGCTATGCTAAAAGAGTCATTAATATTAACTTAATATTAACTAACTTATTCAGATTGCATCATTTAATGTATAGTTTTAGGCATATGAGTGTATCTTTGCTCTTAATGAGCATTCAAAATGATTTCCAACCAGACACTGTGGCTTGTGGATGTTTGCAAGAAGCTTATTAATATATAAATAGATTTAAGACCAGTTTTTAGTTGTCTAAAACGTAACTTATTAACTCAGCTGGTGGATGTTGATTCCTGCTCCCCCTTCCCCACTTACCTGTCCCCTCACATCCACCTTCACCTGGATAAAATTGTAACACAAGAATGACTTAAATAATTTTCTTGGGGAATATTTCATCTGCTTCTTTCTCTTTGGTTAAATTCATGACAGATGTTATGTCATGTTTATGACAGTGTCATGTCAGTCTTGTGCACACCCCGTCAAATAAAGTGTAACCAAAAAAGACACTTTTAAAAACTACAAGAAGTCTGTATCAATGGGACAAAGGTATGAATAAATAATAGTTGTTGTTTTAATCCATAAAACTCAACGTGAAAGATTATTGTAACTTTCCACCCATTTGTTTCAATATGATTATTACTATCTCATAAAAACAACTTAAATTTCATGTGTTCTTTAAAATATTGTTAAATCCTAATATGTTGCATGTTCTGTGAGAAAGCAGGACAGTGTAAAACCAGATGCCATCATGTCTGTACTGTCTCAGTTGATAACAACGGTGCTGCATGAGGCTTAGATCAGGACTGAGTAACTTATCTGTGTTAGCTAAGGTCAGGTCTCCATCCTGTCTCCCCTTTGTCACATTTGGTGAGAGTTTAAAACCAAATCACAGACACAAACTGGATATGGTGAGGATGTTTGTTCATTAAAGAAGAAAAACAATAATAAGAAAGAACTGAAGGGATCATGACACTTCTTTTTTCTCAAACAGGATTCTTGCATTCAAAAGTTTTTTTCTGCATAGTTTGTGAGTGAAGTAATCTTTACAACTGACTGAGAAATTTCCCAAAGCAGCATGTGTCACTGTTTTGAAAAACTGCAAACTCCTCCAAGTCAGTCTAAAATAACTAACGGTCCTTATTGTTTCAGGCTTGGCCTTACATGACCTTCCCAGAGACCATTACACAGTGAGTATCCTCCTGTTTTATTATCTGCCGTTCAGATTTGTGGATTTCTGTCACTTTTTCTATTTTGTTTTCCATCCTGCTGCAGATAAACATCACTGCCACACTAGGGAGACTAAACGTAGCAGCAGAAGTGGAGGAAGTGAAAATAAAAGGTGATGGAGGGATGCATATGAGTCTGTCTAGCAGTTTGCTGCTGAACTTGAACCGACAGCTGCAGTTTGTCACCTACACAAACACCTTGTTTCATCCTAACACTGCAGACACAGGTAAGACCTCTTCAGATTTAGAACTGGGGGGGATTGATAAAACAATATTATCAAATTAAATACAGTTTTCACCATTTTTATATTTGTATAAAAATCCTCTTTCAGTTTGCACACAACGAAGCTAAGATGGTTTATGATGTTTGATCCTTTATATTTTTTTGAATATTTCATACGGTTCAAATGCATCTCTAAAAGCACAAAGGAAAATGTATCTGTCCATAGTGAGTGGATGTGAACTCTGTAATTAGCACTGCATTTAGAGATGTCGTTATTTTCCAAAATAGATCTGTCTGTAGAGAGGAAACGAATCACATTTTTGTTGTGTCCCTTAGTGGAGTTTAAGACAGAAGGTCATCAAGCTGCCTTCACCATCAAGATCCGTCATGGAGTAACTCCAAAACTTTACGACACTGGACCTAAGGAAGGTACAGAAGCATCATCTTTTATCTGTCACAACCAAACCAGTGGTTTCTGCAGGAAGAGTGTTTACCATAAAATCTGTCTGTCCTCTGCAGAGTACAACGTCAGTGCGCTTGTTACCATTGCGACAAAGACTTTCCTGCGTTATGAAAAGCTTCAAAACCTTATTGACAGCATCAGAAAATACTATCCCACAGTCATGATAGTAATTGCTGATGATAGCGAGAACCCAAAAACCATTTCTGGGCCTTACATCGAGCAGTACATCATGCCTTTTGGGAAGGTAAGCAGGCTGGTCTTTCTCTGCTGTTGCAGCTAATTCTCTCTGAGTCTCTAAAGCTCAAACCTCTTGTGTCGTAGGGTTGGTTTGCTGGACGAAACCTGGCTGTTTCCCAGGTCACGACCAAATATGTGCTTTGGGTGGACGATGACTTCTTCTTCACAGCCAATACCAAGCTGGAGAAGCTTGTAGACGTTTTAGAGAGGACCACTCTGGATCTGGTTGGTGCCCTGGAAGATAAATCGTAGCTCAAAATGAGTCTATAAAGTTTTATCTCAGAGATTTGACTCCATGTTTTCCATTCCTGTCTTTGTAGGTTGGGGGTGCAGTGCGAGAAGCTACAGGGTACACAGCTACTTACCGACAAACTATCTCCATCGAGCCAGGAGAGGAAGACGGAGACTGTTTGCACATGAGAAGAGGATTTCATCATGTAATTGAGGGATTTCCTAACTGCGTTGTGACGGATGGGGTCATTAATTTCTTTTTGGCTCGCACGGATAAAGTCCAGCAGGTCGGCTTTGACCCCCGCCTCGCCAGGGTAGCTCACCTGGGTGAGTACAGTAAAAGCACTGAGATCAAATTTATTATCAAAACAGCAAAAGATGTGTGTTATTAATTTCTGGATCATTTAAACAACAGTTGAAGACACGATGCTGACTAAAAATAGGGTTCACCTAATGTTCTCTCTGTACACATAAGAGAACAAAGAAACAGTGTTCACTGTGATATTTTTAGAAAAGCTTTGAGGCAACAGCTGCAGATGAAACAGTAGTTATTTTAAACTTTGACAATTGAAATTTAACTTTCACATCCTCTCTGCGGGGCATGAGTATCGCACTCCAGGGAGATGTAGGTGTTGACATCTACACTTTTAATGCAGTTTTGCTCATAATCTTAATTTCTGTGGCGCTATGTTTGTGGCACCAATGTGAGTGTGTCGTGAAACTAATGTGAGTTCATATATTTATCTAAAGAAACAATAATTTACAGTGTAGAGCAGGGGTACCCAAACTTTTTCCCTTCTCTGGTGGGGGGCCGGAGGCAGTTTGTAACAGAAAAAGGGTGACGATTTTTAGGCACGAAAGGAATACCTAAATGTAAAAATTTATTGTTTTTCAGAAAGCACAATAAAATAACCCTCTCTGGGTTCTTCACAGAAAAAATCCAGGAAATAAC